AAAAAAAAAAAACAGCAAACATGACATCATTTCCGTCAAAAAGAACGTTTCAGTTCACTTCTTGAACTCGTGCAAGTAGTGCAGAGAAATAAAACAAACCTCTAGGCTAAGTATTGCCAACGGGCGCCGCAGTAACTAACTGTAGCAGATTTTGATAAATTGACCAATTACAGTATTTACTGCTAGGGAATACCGTCCCTCTTACCCCTAGCTCCCCGCGTCAACAAAACGATTCATTGACGTCGGCTGCACTATAAAACACGTAATTTCTCTGATTGGTTACGCGTTACGCGAAAAATAACAGTGCATGGGATCGTACCCTTAACAGTAGAGTTTTGTATACAAAAGTTTGGTTCAGAGAACTTACGTTCAGAGAATTCAACGGTTGAGAGATCATCACTTATGATGGAACTAATTTTCAAAATCTGCAGCGATTCCAAAAGTATGATCCAGTCAGAAGTGATTATTTCTAAACCGTTGTGGAACTGTTGAGTTGTCTGAACGCACTCTTTTTCAAGAATTAAGACCTGTTCTACAATACAGTCGTAAGCCGTAAGTCGTAAGAAATTGACCAATCACAATCGATTATTCTTCTGTTCTTTATCTGTGATTGCTCTATTTCTTGCGACTTACAGCTTACGATTGTATTGTAGAACAGGCCTAAGGTCCTGATCGTCATCGATTCGTTCGAGTCGATCGAACTACGTGACTAGTCGATTCTGCGAGAACTGAATTACCGTTCGGCGAAATAAATTTGCGCCACTTGCTATTGGCTTAGTTTACATCGTGCAATTGATACGCGTATCAAGTATTATATTCGTACCAAATTTGTACTAAATATTTTAGTACGCACGATGTAAACGCTATTGGATCAACTTGATACGAGCTTATCAAACAGGAATATCGTACAGTCGGCGTCAATTAATCGTTTCGTAGCTCCGGGAGCTAAAGGTAAGAGAGATGGTATTCTCAGAGAGAAGCCTGAGAGCGGCCATGCCATTGTAGTTTCGTACGACGGTTTCAACCGCTGGTTTTAGCCGTATTTCCACAAAAGTGGAACTCAAAGGCCGTTCTCCATGAAACTCAAGTCGCAGGTCTCGTGGAACTGATCAATCACGTTGGTCGATTGGCTGATTTGACTCTGCAATTGGTCAATTCCACGAGATCTGTTACTTGCGTTTAATGTATAACGGCCTTTGAGTTCCACTTTTGTGGAAATACGGCTAATACCAGCGGCTGAAACCGTCGTAAAAAATTACAATAGGATGGCCGCTCTCAGATTTCTCTCTGGTATTCTCTAGGAGTAAGTTCTGCCAACGGGCGCCGCACTAACTAACTGTAGTAGATTTCGATAAATTGACCAATTACAGTATTTACTGCTGTATTTACTGCAGTATTTACTAAATTGATACGCGTATCAAGTGATACAAATAAGGATGTAAACGCATGAAACGTATTTTAAAGTTATATGTTGATTAAAAAATATAGGTTAAGATTATAAACTTATAATCTTTTAGTCTCTCTAATCAAAATGTTTTGCAGAAAAGGTATGAATTGAGGAGAAGATAAAACAAAGACATTTTTGGAATTATGCCTAGAAAAGCAAATTGTTGTTTTAATGGACGGAAAAAAGGGTGTACTTCCGAATGACCCCTGCTCCCGATCGATCTGAAATTTTGCACAAAAATAGTGTTCGATGGGACAAACAAAACGCGCGTAGTCTCCACTTCGGCAAATAAAAAACAAATTAAAAAAAAAAAATAAAAACGATATCGATTAAAATCGATTTTAGATGTATTTCAGAATGACTTCTTTTTTCGATCAATCTGAAAGTTTGCACAAAAATAGTGTTTGATGGAATAAATAAAACGACCGTAATCCCAACTTCGAGAAATAAAAAACAAATTTAAAAAAAAATAAACATTTAGATTATCATCTTTGTGAATATTTGTGGCGGCGTGAAGCAAAAAAAATAATTTGGACCTGTTCAGTGAATTAATAAGATCATTTCGCATTATTTATCCTGATATTAGCTAAAAGATTTTTTTAAGCACTTATTAAAATATTTAAAATATTGTAAATACAAAAAAGTTACAAAATAAAAATCACAAAAGAAATATAAAAATGTACAAATTAAAAACCTCAATTTAGTTTTTATATTTTTACCCGGGGGTGCGGGGGAAAGGGCGAAGCCCTTCTCCTCGCAGGGAGGCGCAGCCCCTCCTGCGCAGCCCCCCTTACGCAGCCCCACCCCTGCCTACACACTTACAACATAAACATAAGAACTTACTTTTTTTAATTTTTTAAGTTTTTAAAAACTTACCACATATATAGAATCGATTTTAGACACATACATAGGTTTGGATTGAACTTCGCTTTATATGGAAAGTAACTTCCAACGCAAAGCGAGGTTCAATCCAAACCTATGTATGTGTGTGGGTTAGGTTAGATTTTCGAATAGTGGAGTCCCCCCGTAGGGGTGCGTTCAGATTTCTCACTCGGCGGGTGAGGGTAGGGTGAACCGGGAGTGGGCGGAGCTACTAACGGGTGGTCTCGGTAGGCTCGAGAATCTGAACGTATCTGGGGACTGTGAAGGCGCCAAAGCCAAATACAATATTCAGCGACTAAGGGCCTGAGCACAATAAAGAAAATATTAGGAATAAGAATTAAAAACAGAGGTTAAATGTAATGTACAATGCAAAAAAATAACATATAACATATAAATGTGTATAAATATAAGCTGTATATTATGCAATCATGACATACTTCTTGTATTTATGTAATATTTTATTTTTTGT